ACTTCAAGTACCTACAACAGTCATTCATTCATGGTCAGCCACTCAATGAACCGCCTTAATGCCTGGAACAGAGAACACCTCCTATGCTCTAAGTGACACAAGGTACTGTGAGTATAAACAGTGGGACATGACAATTTATATTAAGGGTTAACACTAACTCTTTGGTTCATATACTTAAACTTGAAAATGTAGACACATAAGGAAATCAATTAAATTAGGTTCTTTTTTGGTAAAATAAACACACCATTAATACCTTGTATGTTCTTGTAATCACATGAAAACTGGTCTTCAAGCAACTGTAAACATTTTAAGCAAAGCCTTCTATCTTACTACAATGTCTTACATAATGATTTTCAAATACAAATACTGTGTTTTAAGATGAATCATTTTCCCACAATCTTTCAGCAGTCATCATAATTTGAATAACTTTAGCGGATATTATACCTGTTGATGAATCACTAGTTCAAAACAAAATGAAAAGAGAATTTAAAAATCTCTCAACCTCACAAAACACACAGATTAATTGGAATACTCGGGGGTAGGATATCCTGAACCAGGTGTAGTGGCGCACACCTTTAATCCCAGCACTAGGAAGAGGCAGGTGGTCTCTGTGAGTTCAAAGCTAGTCTGGCCTACATAGTGAGTTCAATGCAGCTACATAGTGAGACCCTGTCAAAAAAACAAAACAAAACAAAAAAACAGACATCCTGGCTACATGGAAAGCTACCCTTTAGTAAGGTTCCTTGAATTCATGTTGTAAGAATAGTCTTTTCAAATTTGATTCCGGCATCATTATTGTGTTATTATTCTGAATTGTATTTAATGAATACAGTCTAGAAATGTCAAGGTCTCGGGCAGTATCTCCTGGGTGATGACCCTAGGACATTCCATTGAAGTAACAATTCTCCTAAATTAGGTACTAAAAGGCTGACCAGCAAGGTACCAATAAACTAGAGTTTCTAACCATACAACAATAGCGATTCTCTTTTGCTTTTTTGAAACAGGGTCTCATATGACACAGGCTGACTTCAAATTTGCTATTTTGCCAATGATGATCTTTAACTCCTGATTCTCTGGCCTCCACATCTCTGAAGTGTTGGTATTACTAGTATGTACCACCATGACCAGCCGAGTAATTCTTATCAACAGCAAATTCTCAGGGCTTGTAATCTCACATATACATGGACACATTTTTTTTTTTTAAAGGAATAAGACTGGATTCAAACCTCATAAACAGTCTAAAAGGAAAGCTTAATGATTTGGGAGGGAGGGAGGGAAGGGACATGAAGAAATGGGCTTTACAGCTTGTAGTTCAATTTGAGACTTAACTTGTTAACCAAAAATTCATTCAGAACAATTCATCAGACTATACTAAAGACAGAAATCAGATAAACATAAATAAGATACAAAAGAAACCTAAAAGCCTATAAAATAAAGCAATCTATTAAGATAATGTCAAATTATATATAAAACATGAATCAAATAGTTTAAGGTTAAATTCTACACTTGGATTCATGATAAAAATTAAGTTGCATTACCAGCTATTGTGTTTATTATCTTCAATAACAACAGCAATTATTACTTATTATATACTATGTGCTGAAGATGGACCTAAACTTATATGTGTACTTTATCCTCATTTAAGTCTGTCAGCATATCTATTAAAAAAAAAAAAAAAAAACAGTGTCTGTATTTCACAAAAGAAGAAACTGAGGTTTACAATGTGTGTTTAAGTAATACTAAGAACCAGAGTGAATTCACAAATATATGACTTCAAGGTCTATAATACTCTATAACAGTGGGTCTCAACCTTCCTAATGCTATAGCCCTTTAATACAGTTCTTCATGTTGTGGTGACCCCCAATCATAAAATTATTTCATTGCTATTTCATAACTGTAATTTTGCTGTTATGCATCATAATGTAAATATCCGATACACTCTACAATACCTCTCTGCTTTCCACAAATACATAGCCATTTTTTGTTCCTCCCTGCAGATTCCAAATTTGAAAAATTAACTACTAGCTGAAATTTATGCCACCTGAAAGCCAACACTCCGAACTTTTGCAGATACTCACGGGTATGTGCACAGCAGTGAAAATCTGAGCTCCTCACAAACAGGCACTCACAGGTGAAAGGGACAAGGACTGCCTCCTTCCTGCAGCTCTGACACTGTAAACAAGTGTCCTTTGTGTGATCTACTGAGGACTGGCTTATTGACTTTTTGCACTTTTTCTGGTGACTTTACTGCTTTCAATGGCCCCAAAATCAGGCTAAAATGAGTCTGTCATTGTTACTAAGCATGAGAAGGCCATAGTGAGCCTTATGGAGAAAATACATGTTAGAGAAGTTTTGTTCAGGCTTCAGGGATGGTGCTATTAGCCATAAGTTCCATGTTTATCAATGAACAATACACAGTAAATACCTTTAAACAAACACATGCAGCATTCTTCAGTCAGCAGCTGATAAGAACATGAGGAGTGAGGAGCCAAGACCCACCCCAAACCTAAACCTGACTTTGCTGTGGCAGCAGGTTTCCTAACTAAGTACAGTGACTTCACTGAACACGTCTGTGAGGAATAAGGGCAGTAATGGAGAACATCCCTACTTCCCTTAGTTCCAGGGTCTTTTCCTTCACGTGCACTCTATCGTTGTATGTATGTAGGTGTCATGTACCCACTGAACACGCCTGCTGCCATTCTGTTTAATGGATTACAGCTACAAATGCTGGAATTTGCTCCTAAAACTAACCTTTCTTATATATACTTTGGCTTTCCAGTGTCAATCTGTGCTAATTGAAATTAATTTCTTTCTACAAGAAATAATGGACATCCCTTAATGATGACTGTCTTAGTAGGCTAAATTTTTTAAGGTAGCAAGCTACATATATTATGAGCAAAATATAAGGAGAATTAGAAAAACATCAGCAAAAAGCGAAAATCTTACCTTTCTTGATCAAGTCAGATTTTTTGGAAAAAACATTACAGAATGTAAAAAATCTAAACAAGGACAATTCAGGGTTGAGAGACAGAACACCCTAAGGCGTCCTCTGCTTTCAGTACAATTTTGAATACAACAATGTAGCCCTGAAAAACACTCCATGGCCTACTGCACTCGTTCCATGTTAAACACACATATATAGAAATCTCCATGAAGTGGAGCCTAATCACCTCTTCACAATTTAGACAGGAAGGCGGCTTTAAGGGTGGTGCAGCCATGGATCATCCACACCATGAAGCTAGTCCATCAGTTGTAATAGCTTCTATAAAATACCACAGTGAGACTGCAATAAGCCTAGAAAATGGGCTACAAATCCCAGCCATGCTCAAGCAAGCAGTGGACCAAAAATAAAAATAGGTAAAACTGAGCCAAGAATTAGATAGTATTCTTCTAGATTCATGATTGGTGAGACAAAGTTCACAGGCTGAGGCATTAAAGTGACTTATTCAGATCTAAAGGACAGTCATCATACAAAACAAAAGCATTTCTGTAATTCAGAAAAGAACATGAATTTTTGAATTGAGACAGTATAAAAATCCTTAATATAATTATTAAGCACATCACTGCACCTTTAAATATGGGACAGTCAGGAGGGTCAACTTGCACCATGTCACCTTTAACGTCTCCAGAGATGTTGTCATACATTCCTACTTAGTGTATTTTTAAATCTTTCAGACCACAATAGTCTTAGGTAAAGGTAACATCAACTTTAAGTTTCGTTTCCATCATATTTAATTTAGCCATTAAATGCTGAACTGACAAACCAGACAATATGAAAACATTAAATCACCAAGACTTTGTCAATTATAGGAATTGAGGAAAAAAGTTAATCAATTTAAAATAACTATTTTAAAGAACTCAAATGGCTTGAGTTAGTCTAATATAAGAAATATGCCACTGTTGAAAATGTTGTTGCTTGATGAAAATGAGTTTATGTAAGTATTTCTAAAACTCAGTGGCACGCATGGGCTGCCATCCAAGGATGCGCAAGCATCTTGCTTTAGACCTGACAGTGAGAGTCAGGCATGCATTCCTGTTAAAACACCAGGTTCACGTGATTTCATCAAGCTCCATGCCAGTGAGGCAGCTGTGACTAGTTTAGGGATCAGACACCTACTACTGAAAATGTGACAAAAAGTGGTTCCCTAAAGGAGACTAGTTTCTCATCACTGTGCTGTTTAGGGATAGGATGACTTTCGCAGTACAATGAGAACTACAGTATGAAATACAACAGGCTTGTAATACAGACCAATTATCCAAACAGGAAGTGAACTGAACAAAGGATAAACTTGAGCAAAGATTATCAATTTCACCTACTTATATCAGCCCTTATTAAAGAAAGTGCCCTGAGTAAAACACAAGTATTTTAAATAATGCTGGTAGAGAAGACTTCTTTTAAAATGAACCATAAATGGCAATACATCATTTTTTATTTACACATCAGATATAAAAACTAAATCTTAACCAGTCATAGAAATACTAAGGAATTCTTGGGTTAAATATAGTTTTCAATTTTCTATCTTTTGTTAGCATTTGGCAAAGCAAGCAATACATAAAAAGATCCAATGTTAAAAACCATAAGAGAGAAAAATATGTAAAATATACAGTAGTTTGTATCCACCCTGGGCCAACCTACATCTCAGGGAAGCCTCCCAATCAGATTCACCTCTGGCTAAAAGAAAGAACACCAGTCCTGCAGCAAAACAGGCCCAGGTCTGCATCAAAGAGGCTCGCACTGCAGTGTATTCCTCCAGGGAAGAGGACAGGAGCCAGGTTCCCTCGAATGCCATTCCCCAGGTGTTCAAAACGTAACTAATTTATTAGCAATAGAAGATTTGGCTTATAGGGGAATCTCACTGGTCCAGTTTGTAGCCTACAAAAAAATGGATTATTTTTAAGTATAACATTAGAATATAAATAAAGGGTGAGGATGTGACTTTTTATTCCATAGAAATGGAAACATTTCCAAACATGACATTTCAATAAGAAAGCATGCCTACCATTGAAGGTGGAGCCCCTCCAGATTTTTTAATATTCTTTGAAGGCATCCCATGGAGGCAACTGAGTCTAGCTTGGAAACCTGGGAAATCAAACAGTCAATTTAGAAGATACTGTGATCACTGGAGCATAGAAGAAGAGCCTATCAACAGAGAATTAAAACTAAGTTGCTGATAGTAGTGAGCACCAAGAATATTATTGGGGAAAATGTGAAACACACTTAAAAGAACTAAGGTAATTCCCAGCAGGGTTCTAATGCAGTCAGCACTTAACTAGCTAGGACTCAGAGCTCCCTTTCTCCCAATTCACACTCCTATTAACACCTTCCTGATGAGTGAAAGCAGACGAATAAAGTACTTGGATTAGGGTCCAGCACATTCTCTACAGCATTCTGTGTTTGTATTGTTTCCACTTGGGTCTATCCTCTTTCAGTCCAGTAAGAACCGTAAGTAATGGGAGGCAGCACTTAGGAAGTACTACTGACCTCGTCTGCCAGGATGTGACATGAGGGGAAAAGAACCACTTAGGATACTTTCAAACACGGGGTCGGACACGTTTCTGTCTAGTTCTGCAGGGTCTTCCTTCTCCCACCAGGGCACAACTCCAGCAATACCACAGGCTCCACCAGACTCCTTCTCATAGAACCAGTCACTCTGTTCATCATCACCTGCGCAAAGACAAAATGTTCCCATGAAACAGACAGTTCAAGAACAAGTTATTCACCAATACCAATGATGGAATACCTAGGTGTAACCAGGGTACTATAAATGACTATTTAAAATTCACTTAACCTCAGTGAGTATCAATATATTTCTTGAGATTTAAGCAGATAAAAATGATTCAAAGTATAGAATGCAGACAGCTTATCAAAACAAGAGAAAAGATTTTAAATAGAGTCACTAAACCTTCTTAAGATCCCCAGAAGCCACTAAAGCCACTAGTACTAGTGGGTTTTCGTAAGAGTTTTCATACATGACTCCCTTTTATGAGACTTCTGATTTAAGACAGCTTATAAAATTTTAAAATAGAAACTGCAATCATGAAACAAAAATAATGCCCCCCAAAAAGCATCTAAACTTAAGCTGAGAATTATATATGAGAAACAGATTTAGTTCAAATAAACAGTGAATACTAAATGCAAGTGTAAAATGAGAACCACAGAACTGTTTGAATTAGGGAATAAAATATTTTTGTTAAAATTACAAAGCTTAAATATTAACATTTCACAGGAGACCTAACTTTAAATGTTATAGAGCAGGAACTCACTTAAAATGACTACCTTACCTCTGAATTGCCATTACCACAACACTATGCCCACTACTGTACTTGGGAGGCTGAGGCACAGTTCAAGAATGAAAGGCCAGCCGGTGCTATATAAACATAGAACCTGTCTCAAAAAGAAAAACGAAAGGAAAAAAAAAAAAAACCACTCCATAAAAATGAAGTTATTTGACTTCACTTTTTATATGATATTCTTAGAGAGTAAATTAGTCATCAAAATCTTGGGCATGGAATCAGGTAAGTTAAAAACCCATTCTCCTGTAACATTGAGAAAATCATTTCAACTCTATTAGTTCCTCACTTAAAAAGTAAATAAAAAGTGGGAACTCCCACAGTTCTTAAAGAATGAAGTGAGAACAAAGTAAATTAAATTCTAGAAAATATCTTAGCAACATGAGATACAGTAAGTTCACAATAACTGTTGCTGTATCTTCTTAAACCAGTGCCTTCTAAAGATGTCAGCCTTGCCAAGAAGTCCCTTTTGATGAAAGTTTATCATTTTATTTGATCATATCACCAACCTCTATAACTTAGGTAAGCTCTGTATTTTAACAAAACTTGTCTATTAACAAGGTAGTTCTACTAACATATTCCAGATAAAGTCTCCACTTCCAAAGGCTAGTGTCTTGCAAACAATCATGCGATTACTTGTACTAAGTAGAAAGAAAAGCCCTCTAATCTGCTTTACCAACAAGGTTCGAGAAACAGTACAGGCAACACTACTATGGTTCCCCCCGCCATAAAAATCACTAAATGATTTCTAAGTTTAGACAGTAAATATAGTTTCTTTCTGTAGAACCTCCTTTCTGCTAATACATTCTTTTTGTTCTTTTGTCTGGTTTGGTTTGGTTTGGTTTTTGAGACAGGGTCTCCCAAAGTAGCTGTGGCTGGCCTAGAACTCACAGACATCTGCCTGTCTCTCCCTCTTCTAAGTGCTAGGATTAAGGATATTAGGCTACCGTTGCTGGCCCTAATAATGCAGTCCTAAGAAAAAAAGATACCTCTGTGATAAGTACACATATGGTGAGTTCAACTTTATGATTTGTACTAGGAATAAGAGAGAACCAGTTAGGGGCTGAAGGGACTAAATGAAATTAGTCCAAACAAGGGTGACTCCTCACTCCTTCACAAGGGCTTCAAATTGTTTACAGCTTCAAAACACTGCCATGTTGAAGTGTGAAAAGATTCTGAAATTTTGGAGGAGAGAAAAGACCTAAGATGTAAGATAGTTCTATTTAACAGTTAATAATATTGAATTAATAAAAGCCATTTAGTTACTTATAGGTGGGCTAGTATAAGTGTGACAACTGAATAAAAATGACAAATCATTGCAAATCCACTCATAGGAATGCTTACACCTAGAATAAGGTGGAGAATAAGTTTAGCAGTCTTGCTAATAAGGACCAAACTGCAAACACTGAGGGATGCAAAGCTGAGTGCCACATGCTAATTTTTAGACATCTATTATTGGGTTAGGAAGCCAAGACACCTTCCGCAGAGCATAGAAACTAGCTACAATACTAAACACCAGCCTCTAAGTAGTACCTGTTATATCAAGGGGCTATTGTTGGCAGCTCATAAAATAACCAGCAGTATGCTTTAAAATGGATTTCTTGAGAGTGGAAAACAGTGCTTAGTACCTTGTCTTCCCTCGTCATTGGTGAACAACCCGGCGTCGGTGCTGCTGAGGCTGCTGGAGTCACTGTAACCAGGAGAAGAAGAAAAATGAAACACATCAAAAGAACAATTCATCTTTCAGTTGTAAAATTTTAAAGAGACATGGCAGCTCAGAGATGGAACTTGAGCCTGACAAAGATCTGAAAGAAAATAAGCCTTTTTTTTTTTTTTTTTAAATCAAACTGCAAATATCCTGGTTCCATTAACTAAACAACATATTATTTTTGGCACATAAAACCCTAGGAATCTAATGGGACCTGGACAGTGAACCAGATAGGACTGTAAGGAGGTGCTGACACAAGGCAGCTTTCATCACATGCTCGCTGTTCCTTTCTGATGCTGTGTTGTGTGATCAGCGTGCGCCTGAAATCCCAGTGCTCACTAAGACAGGGAAGTCTCCATCAGAAGCAGACTGAGACTGTCTTCAGCACAAAAACACAGGGCCTGGGATGAAATGACTTTCATAACCACATCTGCAAATATTCTAGAAAAGCCGTTTAACAATTCACAGCAACTGCATTGTTTCCCGAGAAGGGAGTGATGGTGGCAGTCCATTAGTGCAGAGCGAAGCAACAGAGGGAGTTCTAGACCACTATTAAGAAGGGTGTCCGTTCCCCTGCAGAACTGGAGAATAAGACACCGTTCAAACTTAATATGGAAATTCAGGAAATTACGGATACTCAGCAAAAAAAAAAAAACAAAAAACAAAAAAAACCAACCATTATTAGTCTACTGGAAGCAACATTTAAATGACAGTCCAATTAAGTGAAAATAGGAAGAAAATAAGAGCAAGTCATGAAAGCTTTGGCCCCTAAGAAAACTGAGTGTTATTCCACAAAGGCATACTCTGTAATGCCCCGGGAAATCTAGTGTAGTACTCCATAATCAGATCAGCCACATCTCTCAATTACCTAATGAATACACTTACTAAATACAAGTCAGGTGAAGTCTGACCACAGTGAGCAAGTATTTTACAGCCTGCAAACAGTGAGTCAGTTCACTAAGTTTTGGCTGCCATAGTCTTCTGGGTTCAGATTTACTATCCTTTAATCAATTCTACAAACAGCCAGGTTTACCTTTTCACAACATAACTGGCTGACTACTGTTTAAGCATGATACCCTGGAATAGAAGAAAGCCATTTTAAAGAAAACCAACAGTAATTTTAATAAAATACAGACTTAGAAATATATCCATACTCATTAACTGTGGTGGAGATACCAGAGAAGTATAAAATATTAACAGTAAAAGGAAATTGGCTTGGAGCATGAGAATAGGAAAGGCATGAACTCTATAAACTGTCTTGGAATGTTTCTCTAAACTTAAAAGGTCTCTTTTAAAAGGTCATAAACCATATTCATACATACATATGCCGCCTACGATGACAGTTTTCTGTTTTTTTGGTTTTTTTTTTTTTTTTGAGCTGAGGATCGAACCCAGGGCCTTGTGCTTGCTAGGCAAGTGCTCTACCACTGAGCTAAATCCCCAACCAATGACAGTTTTCTAAGTGAACTGATTTCATAGCTTTAAATGGGTGGGTTTCCTTATCAAATCTTTCCATTCTTCGGTCTGGTACTCTTGCTTGTTCTTCCTCCAAGAAGCATGCCTATCTCTGTCCACACCCTGACAGATTTCAAAACATGTGGAAATCTAGGTTCTGTAATACCAGTCTTTAAGGAGCCTTGCTTTGTATTGAGGTATTTCTTAATGATGGACACAGAAAATAAGTCTATTTTTGTCTTACTGATAACTAGCCAGTTGCTACCTGTACTTCCCTGTTGCTATGCTCATTTAATAAGAACAAGAATTTAACAAGAAAGGCTTTTCATTTCCAGCAGCTAGTGGCCAAGACAATTCATCTGCAAGGATACAGTATCTCTCCTTTTTGGAAATAATTCTTATAACTATTATTACTCAGATGAGACTATTCACAAGTTAATGTATATACATTAATACTAATCCCCTTTTCCATTTGGTTCATTTTTTGTTTTTTTCTATGACTAGAAACCCAGCATCATCTGAGAGCACCACCCTTCCCAATAGAGCTTCCCATTATTTCTACTCTTAAAGAAGCTCCAAGGGTTTCTCTGCCTCTACCAGCACAGATATACTTTCCCCTCCACTGTATGGACCGAGGTCAGTCAAAGGCAGACAGAACACTATAGCCAAGACCATGCTGTCCTAAGTTTCTTCACTGCCTCCATGATGAAATCTAAAGCACCACAGCATGCAGGCCTTCAATAAGTGCTGCTCTGGAGCCCCAGATCCCTTTCTTTCCTAAGTAAAGGAGCTGCACTTGACCCTCCCGGATCTGACAGTCTGTCTTCACACAGCTTTCTTCCAGTCATGCCATTTCCTTGCCAACTCTCCTCCATCCCTCCCTTTTTGGAACAAGTCTTAGTTCTTGCTTGGAAACACAGCTCCTTTGAGAAGTCTTCACTCACAAGTGCCTCTCACACAGCACATTCTATTCTCAGTATCTGCTTGCCTGCCTAATCCAGCGTAGGGTATGGGAGGGAGGGAGTCTATGTTAGTAGTCTTTGAGCTATGGATGCACACTGTAGTCATCAAATGTCACAGAGAGAGGGGGGGGGTTACTTATAAATCAAATCCAAGAAATATAAACCTTAAAATGGAAAGCTTTGAAAAGAGAAGATGCTTTTATTCTGTAGCAATCCTTCCCACAGAAGAAATTGCACTGAGCCCTTAAGTGGCAACAGAAAACTGGTATAAAGAAAAGTTTAAATCAGAGGAAATAGAAATAGTTAACTGTATTTGATTTAAAATATCATATTTAAACTATATACCTAAGATGTGAACAACTAGGAAATCTGACATCCCTGCTTGACCCTGATGTTTGTGGAACAATGAAAAGAAATAAATGAGAGCAGATTCTGCCTCATTATGGTTCCAGGGTGGACAGTGTACGAAGCAGAAGAACAGAAAGAAGACAGGAAAACAAAAAGGAGGGGCTTCCACAGAAAAAGCAGGTGATGTGTGAGCAGCAGGAACTCAGCCTTTCCTGCACTGCCACACTCCCTCAGCAATGGGCAACAGAGCTACCTGCTTTTGGCTGAGGGATCCTCAGTCACAATAATTCAATGTCAGAATGCAACCAACCCTACTGCTGAACAAAAATCATAACTTGCTTGAAAGAAACAAACTTTTCAAAACCTTCTTCAAATACTTCTTTACTTTTGCTTTACTTTTTGAGGGAAAAACTATATAAACAGTAAACTGTCTAATAAAAACTCTTTCTGTTAACTCCAACTGGGTTCTCAACATAACTGCAGTCACACTTACAAACACACCCACATATATCCAAATATCCAAAGCCTACAAACACCAAGATTAAAATGAACTCAATACTACAAATTAAAAATCATGTTTTCCCCATGACCATTTCTTTCTGGCTCTCAGAAATTGAGGAGGGTGTGCTGAAGACGATGAGCAGCGCTGGCTGCTCTTACAAGCAGCTGGATGAATGGAAGAGGCTCACTTCACGGCTCTGACATACGATGAGCATGTGGCAATTAGAATAGACGTGGTCTACTTCCTGAGATGGACAGACAGCCGACCAACAGAGGAATGCTACAATTCCCATTTTTCTAAGGACCAAAATCAGCTGCTTCAACACCATAAATCAGTTTTTTATAAGTGATCAGAATTCCCTAGCAAGTTATAGATCAATACAGCAAGCCCCACACATCACAGGGTATGAACTTTGAACATCAGGAATCAAAATAATGAATACGCACCCTAAAATGTTCCAAAGGCTGAAGCTCCATAATTACATGAACAATGATATATCCTAAAGTGCAGTGATTCAAAAGCATATTCTTTCCCATAGAAAGCTATTTCTTTTTCTCTTTGTAGCTGAAAATCAAGACAGATATAACACAACTAACACTTTGCATAAATCAAATAAGCAATTTTGCTTTGTGTGAAAATGCTATAAATTATAAAGAAATACAAACCTAGTTACAAAGTAATAGCACTATGATTATGGTAATTTATAATTATCTTAAAACAGAATTAAAATACAAAATACATTCAGCCCCAAGCATGCAGACAAACACGTTATTGGCAGAGAATAGTAAAGTTACCTTTCGCTCATGAGCTCATCTGAGACTTTTTGTTCTTCGTACTCCATTTTGTCTTTATTGGTCTGGCTTATTTCTTCACTTTCCAAACCTCCTCCTTCCTCTTGGGTTTTTGGTCCTTGTCTAATCACTTTCAACTTCCTTTTTTTAACTTTATTCCGGTTAAACTCTGGATATTGGTAAGATCTATCGTTGTCCATGTCCTGATCTCTACAGCCTTCAGGCACCTGGGTCATTGTCCTTTTGCTGGAGATGTCCTGTGGGAGATCCACTGCCATGCGCTTCACTTTCCTCCTACGGCGGAGAGTTCTATTCCCAAGGTTGTCCACAGCAAAATCAGACTCATGCCACAGAAGTCTTTTACCTCGAACACCGTTATTTAAGTTGGAAGATGGCCTGCGCTTTGCCACTAACATTTGATCATCAGAGTCACTGTGATCTTTCTTACTGTTGTGGTTCTCTCTATAGTCCTTACTTGGTTCTTCTAAACTAGAATCAGAGCCTTCACTTAAGCAGTGACCTGTCTCCCAAGGGTGGTGAACATTATAGGACCTACGCTTCCTCCCTCTCCTTTTCCTGGCCTGGCGTTTCAGAGGGCAAGACAGATTTCGAGAATGATCTCCTGTTTCAGCAAACCCACCTCGGGCTTGCTCAGAGCTCTCTTCCAGTGCAGAGACAAGATCGTGAACAAGTTCTTCCATTGTTCGGCTGAAATGCCTGTATGTTTTAGAGAAAGAGAAATAAAGTCACTCGGTGCTAACCTCGTTCTCCACACCAGCATTTCACTCTAAATACAGCTATAATTAATATCCTTTAAAAGAAAGGCATATGATTGCACTATTCAAAGTCTAACATGCTCAGTCTGATCCCTTAACACACTTCTTGCATAAATCTTGTTTTGTTTTAATTAGACATAGGAATGGCTGGGTGAGAAGGCACACACCTATCTATAATTCTAGCCCTCAAGAAACTGAGACAGAAGAATTAAGCTAAAGTTTGAGGTCAATCTGGGATACATGGCAGGGCCTGTCTTAAAGATAAATTCCTAACACTGAAATCACTTCAAGACAAGTTAAATACAGTATCAACTGGTTGGGGCAGAGGGGGCGGGTGCTCAGTAGGTTAAGTTCTTGCTGCATAAGCATGATGGTCCCCAGCACCCACTTAAAGCTGGACATGGTGTTGCGCACCTGAAACCCCAGCACTCCAACAGAGACAGGCAGATTCTGTGGGCTCGCTGGCCAGCCAGTTAGGAAATAGCAAGCTCCAGGTTGAATGACAGACTCTGTCTCAAAAAGAATAAGGTGGAGAAATGATTGAGGAGTACCTTCAGATGTCAATCTCTGGCATTCACATGCAACCACATAGGTGAACACACACACACACACACACACACACACACACACACACACACACACACACGATCCCAGGATTTTTCAATGATTATTATGTAAGCATGGGAAACATTCTTCTAATAAGTCACTGTTCCTCACTTGCCCCTTTTCTAACCCCAACTACTTTGAAACTGTCTCAGTCCCTTCCCTAATTTAGCTCCTAAGGAAAGGAGGCATAGAACCTTCTACTTCCCACACACTTTGCCTCATCACTACCATAATATCAGATGTAGATGGACAGAGATTTCCAAAATGTGTATCAGATGTAAAAAGGAAGTTTAACCAAACAGTGGGCATATCTCTAAGCCACTAAGCACTCACAAACAGGTGATAGAGAAACTGTATTCCGTTCCAAACTGGCCCCTCAGTGGTCCATAAGGGCCATCCTTAACACACTCTGAAGCAGTCTCCTATCTTTCTGGTCAGCAAGCATAAGCAACTGTGGTGTTTTGGAGCTTTAATAAATTACATAGTTCTTTCCAAATTCAGTTCCCAGTGATGTTAAATTTGTCGGTGTGACACTTTTTAAATGTTACAGGTATTTCAGATGTTTACCTTTCTTATAAAAATCATGGCCTATCACTTCTCAAACTAAGTTCAACAGGCATCAAAATATTTCCAAAAGTCCTCTGGAGGCCTATAGAGCTTGGGGAGTTTATAAGAGGAGTAAATACACTTTGGGCAGAGGGCTAGATTATAAATAGTTTCGGCTGTGTAAGCCATGCAGTCTCTTATCACTCAGCTTCTCACATACTAGAAAAGCAGCCATAAATGAGCAAGTCCCGTAAGGTGGTTTGCTTTCATTTTTAATACAATCAAGTGGTATCCAACCAGTTTTCCAACTCTTGGTCTATATCATCTCCAGTTACATATAAACTCTACCATCTACGAAATTTAAGCCTTAGAAAGTTCCCTATAACAGTTTGTAACTTTTCATTTTCATTTTAAAACCTAAAGACATATGTGGTGATTTAATGGGTTTTATTGTTTACAGGGCTACATATCTCACATAACAGTTGAGTATTTACTATCTGCTAATATTTACTAACTATATTACCTCATTTCATTCTCACACAACAACCTTGAGGTGACAAACAAAATAGAATCAGCAATAGATCCGCCACTGGGACCAATCTAAGTGACAGACACGCGTTTTAAGCCCTAACATCTGATTCCAGGGCACCCACCAGTGCTTAGCAAGTACAGCTGCCCAACTGCACCATTCTACAGTTCTGTTTCACCGCTTTAACAGTTAAGAGAGCTTAATGAACACCAGCACCAAAGCCAAGGGCTCGAGGTCAGTTACTAATTATGCTGTTTTCAATAGAAAAGAGGCCTAGAAAACCTAAATCAACACAACAGCCAGGGGAGAATGGCTGTTGAGGATGCAATGAGTTCAGCAAACAACCCAGAGGGCTGGCAGAATAAAATGTGAGCCACTGAAAACCACACTGTTGCCTTCCAGCTGTCCTGGGAGTGTGTGTTCCACACCTCGCTCCTTTTCCAATCTGAATGTATAAACAAAGTCGATTCAGAATGGTTTTCAGACACATGGTGATCCAAACACATACTTTAAAGAAACTCTAGAAAGCAGTTGACATTTCTTTCTTCCTTCAAAAGGCTTCAACATGTAACTCTCATTTCAGACTAAGGTATTAAGTGACCTATGCATCACATCTGAATTAGTTATCAAGCCAACAGGGTCTATATCTCTGGCTATTTTGATAAGTCAGATGGATCTTTTATCTATTACTTGTGTGTTAATAACTGCCTATTTGTTTTCTCTTACTGCAAAGAATGACCTGCTCCTTTCTGTTAAGACTAGTTCTCTGGAAGAAATGTAATCTGAAAAGCCTATTATCTCTGAATATAATATTGCATATTTAAACAAAACCCACTTAAAGACAATTTCATAGGCATTAAAATTGGGGTCCGTTCTCTAAAAAGTTCTATTATTGGTTCAGGAATAAGTGCTTTTTGAATACAAGAATGTTCTTATCATTGAGTAAACAGATAGTTCAGAATTTCATGTTAAGACATGAAATTAATGACTAAATAACTCTCCAAGTAAAATCGAAGTTTATTTTCAAGGCAGTTTGGCACATTACCTCAGATGAGAAAAGGCAGTGGTCATGATGCCTGCTTCTTTGTTTCCTGTGCAGATCCTGAAAGCCTGAACTGATATCCTTCCTCACCAGCCTGAGGTCTGCCATCACCGGCTGGAACCACCATGCCTGGATTAGTCCATGTTCTTAATGTTTGAGCAGGGAAATGCACCATTTAATCCACTGCAATTGACACTCATCTACTGATTTTTTAAAATTGTCTCATTTATTTTTATTTTCTGTATACTATTTTGCCTACGTATATGTGTATACACTTCCAGAAGGAGGTGTTGGATGATTCCCCTCGGACTGGCACTATTAACACCCAGGAGTTATAGATGGCTGTGAGCTGCCATGTGGGTGCCTAGGAATTCAACATGGGTCTTCTGGAAGAGTAGCCAGTGCTCTTAATTGTTTTGCCAGAAGACCTGGCTCTCCAGCTCCTTACCAACTAACTTTTATTGAAAAGAATTTCTATAACTAATAAGGTTTAACAAAATATAACCAAAATGATTAAGAATGGAAGCAAATTTTCTAAGACTCTCTTTAAAATTAAGCTACCATTATTCAACTTTCTATTGTTTCTCTTGAGAAAATAAAATATTTTAACTGGAAGAATCCAGTGAATTCTATGACATCATTCAAGCACAAATGGACTAAAAATTAGAGGATTCTTTCAAAACTGCAGAAACACAGAAAAAATATTTAATATTATTTCAATTCAGAGTTAATTACCTTTCACCCCTAATTTGCTCTGGCTTTTCCACAACTCATTTCCAAGCAAAATCCCTGTGGATGAGCCAACAATATTAGGCAATTAATATCATATTGTTTCACTAACATTTTCCAAGTAATAGGGTATCAACTGAACAACTCTTACATCTCCTATAATACAGTTCCTTATTTTATGGTGATCTCCAACCACAAAATTATTTTCATTGCTACTTCATAACTGTAATTTTGCTATTGTTAAGAATCATCAGCATGCAGGTCTCTATGAGTTTGAGGCCAGCCTGGGCTACAGAGTGAGTTCCAAGAAAGGCCAAAGCTACATAAAGAAACCCTGTCTCAAAAAAAACAAACAAACAAAAAGAATCATAAATTAGATATCTGATATGCAGCCCCTGTAAAAGGGTCATTAAACCCTGCAAGGGGTCACAACCCACAGGTCTACATAAATATAAATGTGTGTATATATTAAGTCAAGAACTATGCTTATGAATGTGTGATATATGACTACTCACAAACAAGAAAATAGTGATGGAATTATATTACTTCCACATTATATTAGCTACTGCACAACCCACAGGTCTACATAAATATAAATGTGTGTATATATTAAGTCAAGAACTATGCTTATGAATGTGTGGTATATGACTACTCACAAACAAGTAAATAGTGATGGAATTATATTACTTCCACATTATATTAGCTACTGCATTTTATTTAAGATTAAAAAAAAAAAGTTGTTTAGGAAAGGTTATTTGGCCTTACAAATGTACTGCAAATAGCCAAAAGGCTCAGATGAAAATGAATACATAATAGTCTAGATTGTGGCAATGGGTAAATAAACATATAAGTGGTAAAAGATGCTACACCAAAGGTAAAGGTTACATTTTATGACTAATCAAACAAAAATACCATCCATAAGAATTATCTTAAATGTGAAAATTTCTAGTGCTCATTGGAACTCAAAATTTTCCTTCCTTAATCATACTGTTATTTATCAAAATGAGTCTTTATTTCAAGCCAGAACAGTAGGAATGTGGCTCCTATAACCTCTCATGACCTCCTTGGCATACACACAGGAACATAAATGAAAAGCCTGATCCTTAAAACAAAAAGAAATACTGTCTTATGGCTTAGTGTGATAGACTCTTGCCTGTAACCTTAGCACTTAAGGAGGCAGAGGCAGAATTCTCTCAATGTGGAGTCTATCCTGGGGAGCAGAGTTGAGACCCTGTCTGCAGTGCGTCTGACTCCTGCTTTAATATACAGACGTGAGTCACAAGAGAAGTAGAGCAAAGGATCTTCCTTCCCCAGGTAAGAATCCCAGGGTTCTCATTATAAGAGCATCTGTCCCCCAAGGATGCCAAAGCCCCACTGATGGAATCCAGTTGTGGGGTCTGCTGGAAGCTGCAGCTTTGTCACTTTGGCACGGGGACATCTGAGGTAACTTTCTTTCCTCATTATTCTAGAAAAAGATTTTAAGAACTTAACTGGTTGATCTTTAAGTGTTTAAAGAAAAAAAAAAACTAAAGTCTAATTCTACTTTTCAGCTAATGATTTAATAACGTGAGCTCATTTATTTAACTTGAAGACCATTTTTTGATTTTCTGTTACTTTATTTAATGACTGACTTCAAGTCATTCAAACTTTTCTCATTGCTTCTAACTGCTTTCAAAATGTAAATTACTCATTTAAAAATGCCTAAATGAAATGCAGTCCTCCAGAGTCTAAGTCAAACAAGACAAAAATTTTGAATTTAAAAAGTAATTCATTCTGTTAGCAAGCTTTGTTAGGGTAAGAAATGTCTTGATTATTGCTTATACATGATAATTGCACAGTAAATATTTACTAAATATATATCTTGAATTCCTAGGTTATAAACATGAAAACAGCTAAGAATTAAATGAGTACCTACCATACTTCTTGACATATACCAGATGACAAAAATGTGTAGGATGCACAAATCAAGGGCTGACTCAGCGAATGTTACTTTACTAAAATCTTCAGACAATACAGACTTTAACTTTCCTTCTACATGAATAAGACAGCATTCTAATAGTTTAAGTGTAAAAATGAAGGCAAATTATCAAAGCTGAATCAAACAAACCTAACAGTTTAGGAAATCAAGAACCACCCCACTCTGAAAAAAATCAGCTACTCAAAACACGAAGTTTTTATGATAGTTTTCCAGATCTATGAAAATCAACATACCAAATAAGAATGAAATTCTAGAAGCAAAGATCCAGAATCCCTTTTAATAGCTTTTTACTGTTGTTAAAGCAACACAAAAAAAAGAAAGAAAGAAAAGAAAATAAAAAGAAAAAAAAATAGTGTATTTAAATAAAAATAGACTATGTCAGAAATTGCAGGTTTACAAATCTGGACATGTATTTTTCTAATTCATAATGCCTATAGATACTACACTAGTCAGATATGATGAGTAGATTAAGGTAGTGAGGAATTTTTGTCAAGTACACTAGAATCATACTGCAAATAAACCACTTAGAGAAGTTATTTAAATTATCTTTGCCTCTGTTGTCATCTTATCTAAAATGTAAAAAATGTAGTGCACTTACATGAGTTCTCATGGATTTACATGAGATGACATACACAGATAGATCCAACACCAATGAACTACTTAGTGGTAGCAATCACCAATAGCATGGGCATTTCACAATTTTGATAAAACAATCATGCAAGGCAGTTCAATGAATAAAACAAAAAATTGTGTTAAGAAATCTCAAAGCTTGGGCAAGGCAGCCCAGGCCTATAATGCCGGTATCTGGAGAGGCTGAGGCAGGCAGATCACCAGACTGAAGTCAGCCTGGGCTATAGAACAAAGCTCAAACAGGGAGAGGAAAGAGAGAGAAGAGGAGGGGAGGGCAAAGAGGAGCATGGTGATAAAGGAGGGAAGGATGGAGGGAAAGGCTGAATGGTTGCACAGTTGTGCATATGCACTAGGAAACAAAGGTTCCACTTTTGCGCCACACATCTCTTCTGCCAATCAAGACATATTTTAAGAATTTCTTTCAAAAACACAAACTGGTAAGTGCTAAAAACACACTGTCTCATTAGAAATGATGAGTTTTCTGTCCAGTAAAAAGAGTCCAGCAAGTAAATCCTGTTTCAAGTAATAGATGAGTAATGAACAGGGGTATCTGTGTGTGACAGGAGACGGAAAGGAGAGCAACGAGTAAAAAGGGACATAGGTGTTTTAGTTTGTCAACTTCCATACAAAGTGCTCCAGTAAGACCAGACCAATGTACTCAACACATTCCCCCTCCATTCCTTACCAAGACACCCAATGGTGAAGAGTACACTAGAGGAAATACCAGGTTAACATATTTAAGTGCGGTGGTTCCTCCAGCATGTACAACTGCCAAAACTAATAAAAACCAATACATGAAGAACTGTGCCTCTTATTCCACGCTGATTACAGCAATTAAAAAATGGCTCATTTAAAAACCATTCTCCATTTTACTAACTGAAAGTTCTGAGAACTTAAAAGTCACAAGAAAATCGACACTCGTTAAAAAATGATCTACAGAGCGAGGAGATGTAAATAAAGCATCTGGCCTAAAACGCTCGCTCCTTCAACTTTTCAGTTGTGGGTGAGGCGAAAGAACCTGAAATCACAGCCCATTAGAATTTCTCGTGTTCTTTCTGACTCTGGAAGTAGGCACGGACTTTAAAATCACATTTCTTTGACTTTTATGTTTCAAGAGTGTGGGCTGGATAACTAACTTTCTGGTTTCACTGTGTTTATCCGCAGGGGGAAGCCCTGGAAGAAACGGTGTGTTTGTGTGTGTTTGGGGGAGGGAGGCGGCGAGGACCAGGGCTTTCAACCCAGAAAATCCAAAACCCAGCCCTCACCGGCACAGGGAAACTCTGCCTCTTCAGTTTTCTGTGCCTGCGATCGTCTCCTCTCACAGGGATGCCATAAGGGTAAACTGTGGCTTGCAAAGGCCGTTTGAAAACTTAGAGCCATGGGTCATGATCACTGAAGACAAATTCCAACCCAACCTTAAGGCTGCTGCTGGACAACACCCATCGCTCGTGCACTGGGACAGAACCTCCCTAGGTGGTGGGAAACTTGTAGTTTTTACACAGACCGAGCTGCGCGGCGAGTTCTGAGAGCCTGACGCCTCTCTCCCACTAAGAAACTTCCAGAACTGCGGGTGTCTGCGGTTCCGTCCTTCCTGGAATTGGGTGCAGGGGGGACCGGTTTGGCAGGGGCGACGGGAACCAGGCCTGACGGAACCCAGGGCACGGTGGTCCCCGCTCCAGGAGCCCCGCGGGGCTGCCCGCCTGCGCGCCCGCCCTGTCCTCAGCGGCCCCGCCGGTCTCACCAGCTCTTCCCGGCGGCGGCGGCGGCTCCGATCGCTGGGCGCCCGGCGGCCCCGAACATCAACGACACCCGGGAGCGCGGCCTCGAGGCTCAGGCCCGAGGACCGACTCCAACTCCCGCAGCCCCGGCCACTTCCACACAGCACTTCAGCATTTTGAGAGGAACTTCCGGAAGCGGGCTGGAGGCGGAAACCGGAAGCCGGAGGCGACCATTCGCTCCCGTGCTCTGGGCGGGCCGTTCCTGTCAGCGCCTCTAGTAGTCCCGGCGGAGAACGGAGCGAGTCGGCTGAAGTCGGTTCTGACATAGAAAAATCCGAGTTCTCCGGCCGGTTAGTTGAAAGTGAAATGGAGCGGAAGGAAAAGGGAGCGAGTCGGAAGGGCGCTTGGTTCAGCCCAGTTGCCATGGTGACCCATAGTAACAACTTCGGTAAACCCCAGGCCTGGAGGCCATGGCTACTTTAGCCAAGCTTCAGGCTCGGTCGTCGTTTCTAAAAACTCAGTACTACTTTAGGAACCGGTGAGTAGTGAAGAGAGGGGTCGCCAGGGAAGTTTACTGTTAACAAATTATTTAATTACGGAAATAGCCCCCCAGTTCTCCCTGATGGGGACTCAAACATGATCAGAAACATATATTACGCAGGTGGATGTATGTGACCTCTCCCTACATACATACATAGAGAGGTCATTAATAGATTCATACGCTCTAAGGAGAAGCTCAGCATAGATAAGATGATAAAGTGAATCCCAAGGTGAAGTAACCCTTCATTGGGGAAACTGAGGCAGGAGGATCACTGTGAGTCCAGTCCAGCCTTGGTTTTACATAGAGAATTCAAGGCTCTCCTGGGCTTTATATGGGAGTCTTTCTTTCTCAAAATGCTGTTCCTTCCGTATTTAAAAACCGTCACTGAACAATTTGGCTTGGTGAAACCTATTTTCCATATTCAAGTTTTAGTGGCCTCATTGATGTTACCCGGGCTACCCAGTGAGTTCCATGAGCTCAGAATGTCAGTATCCAAAAAGGAATTTTAGCTTCCCTTATCTCACAAACATGGAGTTCAACTGTTCTGTGATTCATTTGTCTTAAAGTGAACGTTTCTAAACCACTGTGACAAGATAATTTGTACCAACAGATGGGCAAGTGCCAAGGCAGCATTCTCCATTCCCCCCACCACTCAAATGTCCTGTCCATGAAAAGCATCATTTAAACTGGAAGCAAGGGCCAGCAGTTTTTCTAACTTAGAAGAAACCACAAAAAAAGTATATTATGTTGTGATAAAATGCAGTGATCTAGCAGACCAGTGGGGAAATATGTCAATGTGAGAAAGTCCTAAGGAGTGTTTCTTATCCTAAATACATCTACGGTTTTGTTATTGTTTCATCTTGTACCTCTAACAACTAACAAGAGTGATGATTCAGTAGTATAATTTCTGTGAGATGGTATGGATCTTCCTCATGCTAGAAGTAGGGCAGTGTTGCTTTTTTTTAACCGTTATTTCAGTCTCTAGTGTCTGTCCTACTTCCTGAAATGTAATAGCCACAATAATTAGTTGCTGAATAATTACTGTACTGAAACTTCCAATTAATCATCTTTAAATAAGCATACAACAGCTAAATTCTTATATTTAGCATTCAGAAATTATTTAACATTCACTTAATGTTATGTGACAGGCTTGTATTTGTTTATGGCATTGATATATAATTGAAACAATTTCCATCCTTCATAACAGCCTGTTATGGGACAGAGTCATTTAAAGAGAAATTGGGATGCACTCTTAAGTCCAAAGTGAGCTGTTGCTTTCTTTTCTGCTAGCTGGCATTCATAGTACCCTGATGTGCTATGCAGGCTGTAGAAGGTAACAAGTCGTTAGGGATCACACTCAGCTGGAGACCCTGTGTACTTAAATACAAAACTACGTGGGAAGATATGTCCACTGGTTCAAGAGCGGAATAGAGAGTGGTCATCAACCACATCCTGATCCTGATTGGATTAGACAATTAGAAGGAACACATACCTGAAACTATAGAATTAGACAAAAGCTTGGCTAGGGAGGTTACAGGCAAAAGGTAATCATATAGAACATAAATGTGGGCTAGAGCAATTGCTGAGTATAAGTGCACCTGCTGCCAAGCCCTATGACCTGAGTTTGATCCTCTGGATCCATAAGGTGGAAGGAGAAAACAGACCCCTGCAAGGTGTCCTCTGGCCTCTTCAAAATATACATACTATAAATTCAAATAATAAATGAAATGTAATGAAATTTTTAATTAATACATTGAAAATTAAAGGGAAATCCCTGGCAAATCATTGTCATTTCCTGATGGTTATTGGATATGTTAGTTCTTCCTGAACTTTAATGTGCTCCAGAATCATCTGGGAAATTTCTTAAACATATAGATTCTGAGTCAGTGTGTCTGAGACAGAAAATCTGCATCCCTGACAGGAATTCCTGTGGGGCTCTATTTCACATTGAAAAGGGAGACTGTAGGCAAAGAACTGTGTAGTGTTTCACCTGCGATTCTTCATCATTCTTCTGAGTTATGTATTTCCTTCCCCCTCATACAAGGAAAGGAAAGTGAGCATCTGATAGTGTGCATACTTTGTGCCAGGTCACGTAATGCTGTACGCTTCCACTGGACAAAATTCTCTTTCCGTCAAACTGGTCTGGCTGCTGAAATAGGAGGAAGTACCAAGTTCTGCCAGTCTAGATGACTTGAGTAAACTGCTGCTGAGAATCCATTCACAGGAAGGGGACAGTCTTATTTTCATGCCATCCTTCTGTATCCATACAAGGTAGTGGCAAAATTATTGGTACTAGAATAATGCTGAAGTAGAAAGATGATTTTGTTGAGAAAATACATCACTAAGTAACAAGGTTTGTCCATTTCACATGTTAAATTTTCTTTCTATTTGTAATATTCTATTTATAATATTAATTATATTTGTAATATTAATGTTGATCCTGCCAGGCATTTTGGCTCAGTCTTATAACCCCAACATTTGGGCTAAATAGTGTTCAAAGTCGGCCTGAACTGTTGCATGAAGTCCTATCTTTAAAAAAAAAGGATTCTTCTTTATCTCATAGGAATTAAATAATTCCCATAGTTCTCCTTATTGAGGTAAATTTGGAGTGCTTTCAATCAAAACTAAATAAGTTCATGATGGGTTGATTTCATAGCTTCCCATTCATTATGATTATCAAATAGGCATTTAACATGTTACACTGTTTTAAGATAATTTAAATTTTCTACTTTTTCATAACTTCTTACATGTAACATGTTTATTTTATATTTCTTTTTTTTTCCTTTTTGATTTTTTGAGACTAAGTTTCTCTGTGTAGTTTTAGAGCCTGTCCTGGATCTCACTCTGTAGACCAGGCCTGGCCTTGAACACACAGAGATCCACCTAGCTCTGCCTCCCAAGTGCTTGAGATTAAAGGCGTGCGCCACCAACGCCTGACATGTTTCCCCTTTTTCTATTTCCCTCTCTACTCTTATCTTTTATTAGCTTAAAATTTTATACCTTGATTTTTGTTTCTTAAAATTTTTTAAGTTACTGGGGGTAGTAACTTTTAATCCCAGCATTTAGGTGGCAGAGACAGACAGAGTTTGAACCCAGCCAGGTCTATATTGTGAGTACCAGGGCAGTCAAAGCTGCACATATAAGCTAATTATAGTTACCATATGTGGTGCCTTTTATTATTCATGGATTATAGCTAAGGTAAGTCAGGTTTAGTTCATCTAAATCATTTGACAAAGATCAGAAATATTAAAGACTGTATCTCAAAAAAAATTAAGTCAAATCTACTTCAATAAATTAAAATTAATATTTTAAAGTACATGTAATTAATACACAGAAGTATTCATGATCTACACAAAAATCTTAACTGACTTAGTCTAAGGGAAAAATATATGTATGGGGATGTGAAAAAAATCAGTTCCTGAGGACGAGCACTTGGAGATATATAGTGACAACAAAAGAAATGAGATGCTCAACTGAGGTACCCAGATCCTTGGCACCTCTAAGAGAGAATGGTAGAATCATAGATAAGGGAACAGACTGAGAGATAATTATTACTGAATATCTACTATGGGAAGAGCAGACTGCCAACTGTTCTCACACACAATATATATCTGGGCAGGAGATAATTCAGTATTCAAAGCACTTGCCATACAAGCATTAGGACCTTAGTTCCAACCCACATAAAGCTGGGTAGGAATTAGAGCTCTTCTAGTGATATGAGAGACAGAGACAGAATATCATAAGATTTGTGGTCTACCTAGCATGGCCTCAAACAAGATGGAACACAAGACAGCCTGAGATTGTCCTGTGTATTCCACATGTATGATGTTGCACAGTGTGTATAAGCATAACACACACACACACACACACACACACACACACACACACACACACACACACACACATACACATCACATCACATCACACACCAAGATTTTTTTAAAATGTAATGATAGTTATTTTATGTGATACTTTTTATTGTTCATATATTACAGCTAAGAAAATCAGGGTTAAGTCTAAATCATTTGCCAAAGAACAAAAAGATCAAAGATCTAGTAATTTTATCTTTTCCTGTGCAGATTTGTACTTGGTAAAAGCAATGCTTAAATCGTTAAGTTCCCGCATTAAAGTAAGTAGCTCAATTACATGAGTCTCTCCTGCCTGGCTCCAGTCAGTTTGGGAAACAGAGCATACATGAGTATAATGCTAGCCAGAAAAGACTGATGGTGACTTGTGGTTCAGTGCTCTGCGCCAACCTTCAGTGCACTGTTCTGAATATAGCTTTGTTATTTCCATCACTGTAGTAGTTTGTTTCTGACCCCACATAGTCAGCTGACTGCAGTTCCTAGTGTGATTAAGTTGATTCATTGCCTTCATTTTGGACAGTTACTTAATTTCTATTAACATAAATTAATAGCAGCTCAGTTAAGTAGATATGAATCTGTTGCTTTGACTCTTCTTTACTAAATTTTTTATTACACCTTAATTTTTTATGAAAAAAATAAGTAACTATAAAAGAACGATGCCCCTCTCCCAAATGTTTCATTTTTTTCAGGATTATGAGTGGATGGTTTTAGGGTTGGGAGTGGAACAATAAAACTTGGACTCAGTATTCTTTTTTCGAAATTCTGTTGATGTGAGACACGATTGCTCCTGACAGCACTGATATGATCCCGAGAGAATGTTGGGCTTCTAAGACATTTCCATTTAGAAGTTTGTCTTCTTTTTGACACAAGAAGTGCCCTTG